TACTTTCAAGTAGAAAAAAAATGAAAATAAAAGACTATTGCGAATGAAGACACAGACGGCGAACAAATTACTAGTTTCGCGGCTCAAAAAGCAAAGAGTGTCCCGAAACTCTGAAAGTGATTTGAGATTGTACGCAACAAACACTGACTCTACTTTCGCGAAGACCATAACACATCTCCGGTGAGATTCTAATCGGGGCCAGTTCGCTCCACATCAACAGAAAAAACTTCGATGTAAACAAACACTGACTCGACTCGGTCGCCTTGCACGCGACCACCAAATACTGTGGAAAAAAAGGGGGAGAAAGAAATACAATACGGCGCACGTGCACCGGCTTATCCTTTCTATTTTTATATTTTACCAAGTGTGTATCCAGGAAATACTGCCTATTCAATGATAAATATTAGCGTAAATATGCAAATGTTAGTTTAACTACGCAAAGGTATAATAGTTTAAAAATATTCTGTGCTAAAATCTCACAGAATAATTCTCAATTTTTTGAATATATTATATTCATTATTCATTTATACTTGTTATTAATATATAATATTAAAGACATTCGTTGTTACAGTTTAAGAATTCTCGTTCTTTCTGTGTAAATCACATCCTGAATTTTATATATATATTTAGAAGATGATTGTAATTACTAAAGTTTCATTATTTACTCTAGCTTCGATGAGCATGATAAATTACGCAGCTTCTATATATTTAAACTTACATCTGAAACCGTATATAAATACAAATACAACGACTTTATAAAGTTAAACCAGTAAAGTTATTAAAATTGAAAAAATTTCGCGACCGAGATACAGTAAAGTACGAGCATTTCTTCGAAACGTTTGGAAGCATTCTTGTTTAAATTTCCTAACGGTCAAGCAAGACATACTGAATGCTTCAATTACGCGTTTCAATGCACAATATATCTCGAAAGAATTCTCGCTCGATTTTAGCACAGTTAATTACTAAATCGCGACCATGTTTACAGTAAAAACAAGAAAAAAATGCAATATAATATAAATATACAGTGGAGTGTAATACGTCACCAGAATTCACCAATTTCCCTCCAAATTGTCTCTAATGGCAGGAGAGTTCCCTGCCTATCATCGGTGGTGCGTTCCTACTAGCCGGAATTCTGAAACAGAAAATACACGTTTATACGAAGTAATTATACGAAATAAACAATGATTGAGTTACAACAAAACAATTATTGACTCCAGAAATGTCGTCAAAGATTGCAAATTGTACAAAAACTGCGTAAATACTAACAAGAGGTATCGCGGGGCAGGGGGAGAACAGAAATCGCGAAGCCGGTTCACTTCATCCAGCAATACCGAGTTAATTTACGATTATTGACACTGAATTCAATAGATATTAAACGAAAGTAACGATACAGTACTAACGAAGATACTAATATCATAAAGAATTGAAAGTAAAAAGCAATAATACTTACTTCGCCACGAGCGAGATCACTACACGTCTAATCACTTCAGCTTCCACGAGACGAATAACCGTTACGCTGACCGACTGGCTGTGATTGGTTGATTCGGTTATGTATGAGGCCTGTGATTGGTGGATCGGCGGGTGAAGACTGTAATGATTGGTCCTTTCCTTCCTCACGTTACTTGTTATTTCAACGAAATAGAACATTTACCGCCAAATTATATTTCAATACATTTTTCTTATGTGCATCCAAGATTAATTCAGAAGGGAATGACTATCATAATAGGGAAAAAAAGAGACTAATACTACCTCGAAAATGTTATATTCCAATTTGTTTTAAATGGAAAATATTAATTTTGCTGACGTCTTCTTGACGTTTTCAATGCTGCAATGGTCCTCGAACGCCATCTATGATAAATGTATATGTCAATTTGACAATGGCGCCAAAGTTTCTGAAATACAATCTGACAGATATTATGTACTAGTTAAATAATAGATAACAACTTTTCATTATGAAGAAAGTTTGACTAGCTGAGCTCTAGTTGGCTTGAAGTTTATTATTTAATTACTCCCAACAAGTAAAATTATTCTAAATAAAGTTATATATAATAATTCACCAATTGCGAGAAGGTAATTGATTATACGTATTAAGATTCTTACATCACGTTATCGGATAAAGAAGATGTAAAGACGAATAAAAAAGAACCGTGGAAAAAGCAGCATTAGTAGTTATCTCATAAATAAGTGAACAAATATATACTTTCGCGCGTCATGTTTCATCAGTATTCAATTCATTCTTTAAACGGAAGCTTGGATACACGTTTTATCACAGATGAAGTATTGGAGTAGACATTGCATCCAATGTATTTTTTCGGTCCACTGTTCTGTGGCGACGTCGCATCGTTGCATTTTAGTGTCACTACCTACCGCAGATTCACCGTTCTCATAATGTAGAGGTCGCTAAAATCACAGACTTTTTAAGGTGTCGGTACTACAGTATAGGTGGGCCACCAACAACTTTTATAAATTTAAAAGTCTATTCTTATACAAGGTACCTCGTCGGTAGTATTATGAATGGAATATTTAATGTTTCATTTGTGTGCATAATATGTAATTTCACAGACGAGATATAAGAATAAACTTTTCATTTATTAAATTAAATGTAAATGGTGCGATGGGAGCAATTTTAGATTCCGAGGGAGCAAATTGAGAGCAATTTTTTAAGATATAAATTGTTAAGAAACACTAATATTCGGCATCAACTATTTTTCGGTGAAAAAATACATTGGATAAAATGTCTACCTCTATACCTCGTGTGTGGTAATGTGTACTCGATTCATGTCTTATCGGTAACGTCGGATTACCACTGAAATAGTAAGGGGGCTTTGGAGCCCCGGAATCACATGATAGAAAATTACATTGTATCTGAAGTCATTTATACTTCGTCTGTGGTATTATGTACGTCTAGAGATGACGTTAACTGCTACTTGTGAATCACTCGTGATTCGATCACGTTCTTTGCGTTATTTAAATGTTGAATATAACACTCATGAAACATGACGGCGAAAATAAAAATTGTTACAAACCTGTCCATATGCTTTGTCTGAAACATCTAGATAGAATATAGCCACATTCCTAGGAGATTCTTCTGCAAAATACTGTTATCCGAAAGTGGCGTTTTTATTCCTTTCACCTCGTCTGTGACTTGACTTTTACAAAAATTATGATTTGGTACGATCCGAATAGATAACACCAGATGTAGATAGTAATATTTTCAATCGATCGTTAAATATACTTCTGGTATATGTCCATTTCCCATGAACTACATAATACTAACGCGAAACACGCCATTAAGCCGAAATTAATTTAAGAAATCAATCAATTTTTGAATGATCGGGAGTCCGCAACGACTGATATTGAAGTGTAATATTTTAATAGTTATCATAATGAAGTTACAGGATGCTTTATACAATATGTATAGATAGAGCCGTAATATGATCGTTCTTATTTATCTCGATTGACGTAATTATGCTTAATCAATCCGTAAGTTTATTATCGTCTACTAGTCAGAGAGAAAGAAGAGGAGAAGGAGGAGTAGGAGGGGAGATATCTAGAGGACACGTATCCGCAAAAGTCTTACATGAAAAAACAGGTGAAGCCTTACATTTCCGTCAACGCCTTTACCAGAAGGTTACTCGAAATCGTCGTTGTGATTATTAACAAACAAAATCGAAAATGAAAACATTGTTTTTCATACACTTGTGTACGCTTGTACAAGGTCTGCGCGAGTATCATTTATTGCTTTACTAAAACATTCGCGGGCACGTTGAACATCGAGAATGGGGACGGGGACACGCGTGATTTTCATTACCTATCGAGCGAAGTAATTTAACAATTATGCATCCCTATAAAGTGCTTCTCGTGACACACGTACCACGATGAACCGAGGAGATCGCATCTGTATATATATATATATATATATATATATATATATATATATATATATGTGTATGTATAGTATATATATTTATATATTAATAAAAATCACGAAGAACTTCTTTATCTTTGTCTCTTTACAAACGTTATGTATCACCTAATGGAAATTTGTACACAAATTTTCATAGAACATTTCTCTCTTAATTACACGCTCGTTCTGCTAATCCTTATCTTCGTCGCTTTGGCTTCGCGTCGACTAACGCGCGTAGAACTTTTCTCCACGCTGTCCGCGAATACGTTTCTCCGTATATTCGATAATCTAACGTTCTTCCATCCCTTATCCCTCTTCATCAAGCATTACAATGGTAGACACATTTTCCGGGACAAGATTTCGGTGATCGATCTTACCCCGGTTTCCTTCCGAACTTCGGGATCGTCCTATTTTCGTTCCGCGATTACATCGCCGTCCACGAATACCGCTAAAAGGGGGAAAATCGAGTTTTAGAAACTCGAAGTCTCGACGAACGCCTCTCTCCTCACCGAGTACGGTTTGTCCATGGTGTAAAGTAACTTCGTGCGCGAATAAATAATACCACGAGGGGTTCTCGCTCGCTCGATTCTGGAGACGATGAAAGAGGAAACGGTGGGTTCGGTTACGAACAATTATCAATTACGTGCGCGTGTGGAACAAAAACGAGCATGTAGGAACTACGCTATGAAGCCGCTCTCCCTTAACGAGTTTGCGTTTCTGCGCGCGTAAGAGAAAGGATTCTGGTCCGCTTGATCTCCTGCGAGTCATCGCTCCGTAGGTGCAAGGAAACGAAGAAAGTACATACAGAGACGTAGGACTTAAGAACACACGGTATCCGTTCCGAGGACATTTAGAAATTACAATGAAATCACTCCTGGATCGTCCTCTCGGTCGGACTCCGTAGGAATCGGACCATCGAACCAACACTTGTTTCACTACGAGTAACTTCAAACACGATCGACGTAATTCTACCTACGGTTTTAATAAAAAAACATTACATCGAGACGAACATACTCGCGTGGAGTCCTATGTATCGCTAAAAGGGCCACGTCCCGCGGACGATCTCTCTCGTTCAACCTATACGACTTATGGGCTATGTAGAGATCTCGATCACCGGCTCCGCTGTGTTGTTATTCAGCAGTTCTTGCTTTTCTCGTAACTTTAGATCGTACTGCGACGGCGGTGGTGTGGTTTCCTTGGTTCCTACGGGCGATAGGCCGTCGGTTTCGTCCAAAGGGGACACACCTTCCTCGCTATCCTCGTCCTCGTCGTACTCGGTCTCCATTTTCGACTCGTGTATTTCATGCAACCGACTGGGCAGGTAGGCGGGATGATGAGGCAGTCCATAGCCGGCTTCGCCGCCGTATGTGACTTTCCCCATGAACGAGCGGATCTCGTCGAAATACGTGTCCTCCCGTTCGTTCTCGTTGCTGCTACCCGGCGAATCGGCCACCGAAACGACGCCACTACCGTCGTCAGCCTCGTGCTTCTTCAAATGTCGGTCGAGATTGGTCTGTTGCCCGAAGCATCGCTCGCAGAGGGGACACTTGAACGGTCTCTGTTTGTCATGGATGTTCCGGACGTGTCTCTGAAGATTGCTAGAGATGCTGAACGATCTCTCGCAGTATTTGCATTTGTACGGTTGCTCGCCGGTGTGCGTGCGCAGGTGTCTGGTCAGATTCGCCGACCTGGGGAACACTTTACCGCAGAATTTGCAGGAGTAACGGTCCTTCATCTTGCCATGAGCGTGATGATGATGATGATGGTGGTGCGGCGCGATCACGGCCTCTTGGAACGGTTTCACGCCGGGGAATGGTCCAAGCGGCGGTCTGGCAAGCAGATCGAATCCTCCTGGCCTTGCGCCGCTGAGTCCGTTCATAAGGGTCCCTAAAAAAGGAAGTCCCCGGGGTGGTCCGAACGGCGGTAACGCTGGTAGCAGCCTGGATTCCGGTGTGGCGCCCCCGGGAGGCGGTGGGCCACCTGGAAAACCTGGAAAGGTACCGGTTGGTCCGCGATACATCGCCTCCAGAAACATAGGATGGATCGGTCTCGGGTAAGCCATATGCGGTGGTGTATTGGCAGGTGGCCGTTCGGCGGATAGACTGGTTCTTATGTGCGAACTGCAGGGCAGATCTTTAGCTTCGACTTCCATCGGCGTGGATGTGTCCTCTTCGTGTTTCGAGGTGTCTAGAGGGGGTGGAACATCGTCCAACGGTGCTGGAACGGGCGAAGGACTGTGTCTCTTCCTCTCGGCGACGCTCGGGTTCATTTCCTGCTTTCTCGTTTGAACTCTAAGATCCAGAGGCTGATCCGTGGTTTCCTCGTTCGTGGTCGACGAGACCATCTCGGAATCTATCTTCTTCTCGTTGGTTCTGCCGATCTCGCGTTTCTTCGCGGGATCATCGTCGCTCTCCGGTGTCGGCTGGACAGGTGGTCTGGCAGGTGAGGGCCTGAACGAGGAGGTGGCTTCCTCCGCGGTGGATGGAGACACTTTGCTGTGTTGCGGCAATACCCTCGGTGGGGTGAAACGTTCTTTCTTCGGACTGACGCTTCGTTTCTCGACTTCCTCGAGCTTGGATGGAAACAGCAGCGGTGTATTCAGAAAATTCGGGGCGTTCGGAAAGATGCCTGGATAGGGAGCCATCAGACTGGGCGGATAAAAGGGTAAACCACCCGGGAGACCGACTGGTGGTCGGGGATACACCAGGAAAGGGCTTGGCCCGGAGGTTGGTAACTGCGACATGGCGCCGGGCGGACCGGTCGGCGGCGTTGAATCGCAGAATCTCTTGTGCTTCGACAAGGACGTGACCGTGCTGAAAGACTGTCCGCATTTAACGCACTTGATCTGCATACGACAATCCGCGTGCATGCGTTTATGCCGGCATAAGTTCGAGAACTGCGTGTACGCCTTGAAGCAGACCTCGCACTGGAACGGTTTCACGCTGCTGTGTATGTGGGTGTGCTGTTTCAAGCCGGAACTGGTCGCGAACGTTTTCCCGCACTCGGTGCACGCGTGACTCCTCGCGCCCACGTGATGCGTTCGGATGTGACGCTGCAGGTTCGACGGATCGGTGAAGACCTGAGGATTGTCCGACTGTTAGCGAAACTTTGAAGATGTTACTCTGGAGGGAGAACGTGTCGGTTGGATCTCGATCGGGTCAGAGATGATACTTACCTTCGGACAGTTCTCGCAGGGATAGTTGCGGAGATCACCGTGCACGATCGCGCGGTGACGTACCAGAAGCGGTCGCCAGGCGTAGGCGCGGGGACAGCTGTCGCAAAGGTGCTGTTCCGCCGGGTATCTGTGACAGGTTACCAGATGGTTGTCTAGCCTGAAAAGAGAACGACGAGATAAGAGAATATGATCGACGCTCGAGATGGTGTTGCGTTTATGAGAAAGATAATCGAACGAAACGAAAGCGAGGAACGTGAATTAAAATCTTTCGTGGTCTGGTACCGAACGAGTTATCCGTGTTCTCCATGGAATCGTCCTACGATGGCACTAAGGAATTACTAAGATCCAAGGAATACCTAACACTTTCTTTCCGGCGAAAAATCCTCGGTAGGATCACACCGAAATCTCGTTGCTCCTCGTGTAAGAAACTTCGGATGTAATCGATCCGGGGCAGCGCACCGGCGAAGACTGCGCTCGGTGCAGTCGAGGATGATGACTAAGTGACTTCGGTAGCGCGGCAGCGGACAACCTCTCGCGTAATAACAGTCGTACGCCTCCCTCCCCTGAAGAAGAGGGTGGCCATCGTACGTATAAACACACACAAACCAAACGGAGAAGCAGTTTTGTTGCGCACACACACGGAATGGGTGTGCGGCTTCGTTCCTCAGGGGTGGTGTGTCCGCGGAGGTGGTCAAGCCACGGGTTATGGTCACAGGATGTGCCATGGTGTGCGCCGGCATTGATTTTACACCCTCGAACACACGTGTGTCGCGTGAAACCTATTCGCGGTGAGATAGTAGGCTCACGGTGACGGTGCGCGGTGCCAGATGAGCTGCGGGCACGCGACGACGCCTTCGATGATGCATAAGGGGACGGCCGGGCTCGATGCAACCGAATGCGGATCTCGCGCGTACTTTATTGCGCCACAACAGGTGACTCTGCCCGGGCCACCAGCCGAGCGACACGGAAGCGGCTGGTGTTGCGGCTTGTCAAGGGACCGGGAAACAGATGCCGGAACGAGACGGAATGAATGTCCGAGATCCGACGGTGCTATCGGTTAACCGAGAAACAAAAGAGTTTGTTTCATTGGCGGTCTAACGAAGGTTTGTCCCGATGGTCCGAGAATCCGTATCGAATTTCAAGATTTCAGTGATAAGTATTGTTGGGGATCCAGTGATATTGGATCGTGTCAAAAAAAAAAACGCCATGACTGCATCGCGAGTTGAATTTCTTTCGACGAGGCGTCTACGAGGTAACAGAGGACGCAGGGAGTCAGTCTTTGCGCCCACGTCACGTTGAACAGACGTCCTATTGGTTATGGATGATGTGTCAACAAGTATTATGAAAGTTTAGATATCGTTTGGAGTTCATACTGGAAGCATTTCACAGGTAAACGCGGTTGCAAAAGGAATATATTTGTTTTCAATTAAGAGATGGAATCTCGACGAGCAATTAAAGCAACACGTGCTTCGATACTTCCGCGTGTTTCGTGAACGTCGAATCGTGGGAAGGAATCGGCGGCCCAGTAACGCCAACTTCCATATGGCGGTATACATCGGTTAAGCATTTGACTTTTCGTTTAATGGCGGCAACGCAAACAGCACCCGACCCCTGAAAAAGCTATCGGGTCGACGCAGCTACCCCCTCGAAAATAGTTCGCGTGCACGAAGGCCCCCCTCTTTTTGTGCGGAGTGCAGCGCTAACGTTCAGATTTCGAGTGGATAACGCGTCGTTCGTTCCTGTGTTTCGACGATTAATGAATAATTTATCCACGGGAATCGAGCGACCCGGCAATTACCAGATTCGATGGTTCGATTATTTATGAACGTTTGAACTTCCGACTTTTGGGTCACTGTGCTAACTCGAACTCTGCCCGGAGGAATATGTTACGAGAACGAGTCGTGTAATGAGTTTGATTCGACGTCAGCGTGTCCGATTCAGGTGGCGATTTTCAACGATACCGTTCGAAAAACGTGTAATAACGTATCATGAATCCTTCATGAATCGAGCATTTGTATCGTCCGATCGAAGATTTCTCCGTTAACGAAGGGCATGGATGTATAACAAGACTGTTTCACGTCGATAGAACTTCAAAGGGATCGAAAGTAACGAAACAGGAGGATTGATCTTTCGTTTCATTCGGTTCAGAATCAAAAAATAACTCAAAGGAAACTTCAAACGAGAGATTTCAAGGTAGGTACTCACAGCTCGATGTCTTGGAACGGTTTGTCGCAGACTGGGCACCTGGTCTCTCCTTCTTCCTCGTCCTCTTTATCCTCGTCGATGGTTCCGCTGTGTTGCGAAGCTGCAAGCACAAAGAAGAAACGGTTCGTGAAACCGCGCTGATACCGCGACCACCGCGAGACACAGGGTGGAAGTCATAATTCCGTGTTGCAGTTTGCGACGGGCCGCGCGGCTCTATAAATTACACCCCCGAGAACGATGATACGTGACCCGTCGCGGTGTGGGCGAATTACGTGATCGAGAACTATGCGGGGGCCAGTGGAGAGTGGCGTGACAAGTGGATGCCAGGATTGTTCCTGAATTATTAAATCAAAACGGCACTATCGTTTTATCCATATACCCTTTCAACTCGCTGTGTATGTGTGAGGCTTCCCACGAACCCATAATTTCTTTTCGTTCGACCTACACTCTTCTACGAGGAAATGCACTGAAAGGAACTTTTCAATAATGAGCCTCAGGCCAGAACCAAGGATAAAATGTAGTCGATCGTTAGAAAAAAAATTAATCGTCACGAAGCGCGAATAACTTATCGTCTGCTTCTTTAGTTTACACGAAACGTAACTGTGTTTGACAAACGATCGAATGTCAGACAAATGAAGTAGAAGCTTCGACACGATGACACTGCACCAGAAAATACCTTTTCCTCTCGTTAATCGGTCGCGATGCTGCAGTCAACGAAGACAATGGACACAATGATGCACCGGTTAGCCCGTCGCACGTTGTCCGCGAGTGAAAACGCGAAGGGGGTGCCCGGGACCGCTTCCCATTGGTAAAAGCTGAGTCGGAGCTCGGCCAATCGCAGGTGAGTCTCCGTTTGCCCCCTGCGGCCTCTCTTCACCCCCGACCAACAGAAGCAACGGCAGGTAAAATCAGAAGCCCGTGAACGAGACGGCGCTGAATTTTTTTACCGTCGGAGATTCTCGACTGAACCGAGACCAATGGTATTTTTTAACATTAAATTTTTATTCAAAACAACAAAACGCACGATTGAATGAATACCTGAGAATTAAAGTCACACGAAAGATCGTGCTAATGTTTCTAAATGAAGGTTAAACCTATCGAGTAAAATGATCGAAAGGTGTATACGAGCGAACTTGCGACGATAGGGGAGGAAAACAATTGGCCAATCGATGTACATTGATCGAATTATTAACCAGACCGATGGTAAAATCGAAACCCCACTACTCGTCCTCCAACGGTTATTTAAATCTGCCGCTACACTTGTCCCAACCATATGGTCGGACGATGGCCCCCAACGGACCTTCATGGGAACCGGGCACAGCCCCTACGCCACCAACTACGCCCCACGCCACGACTCAAACCCCCCATAGAACGTTAATCGTTCCTCCATCCACGACTAATTTGAAGCGGCACGCCGTGAATTTAAACAATAAAGGATGCGGTTAACCTCGGGATCCGCTAAACGGAGTCAGCTAACCAGTCTTTAAGAAAAGAAAAAAATCGAAAGATAAATAAACATTTAAGGACCGTGGGTAAAAAAAATTACGTAAAGAATTGAAACATGTGAAGTCAACATAATTCTGAGATGTATAAAGTCGAATTTCGAGGAACGGAATGAAAGATATTCGATCGAATTATTCGTAAAGTCGGAATTGCACCATTGTGATCTAATAATCCTTCGTTTTTTTTGGCGCAAAATTAGAATCCGTAGCATCTAGGAGCAGTAGCCGTTAGTTTTGCGATACTAAAAAATACCCAGCGGAATGTTACATTGTGGAAAGTCAACAGGTGGGATCTACCGGCTACACCCCCTGCAGACGCGTCAGTTGGCGGTTGTATGGGAAAAAGTAACGGAAATCAATGTTTCCGTGACATCCACGACGGACCAGGATCAAGTAGATCCCCTCCCCCCCCCCCCCCCAGAAAACTACCGTGCTACATTGTTACAACATATTCTTACATAGGCCATCGGCGAACACGGAATTTTCATCGGCTCGCGTAAAACAAATATTTCTAGCACAGTTTGCGACACAAATAATTCACTACCACCGGTGAACTAATTGCGTGTTACAGAACGTCAGATGAGCGTACACGATACACCGGTTGATTGATAGTGAAAAGGTGGAAATTTTAATAATATTAAATATCTGATTAGGTCATAGAGTAGTCGTGCACGCATTTTACCCAACTCATTCTGCCACGTTATAAATACACTCCTGATTATCCGTATTCGCAATTCGTGCTCCAGATTCACGGCTTACGCGCGCAGTTTGTATACATATTTTGCGGTGAAGGTGTTTCGGGTCCTTTTATCGAAGTCGTTATCAGCTGTCCCACGACCGGCTCACGGAAAATTCGCCTCGAAACGACGGACGAAAGTCAAACGTCAAACAGGACGTATCATTAGTCCCCGATGAATCAGATAGGGTTGCAACGTGTCACGCATTTTCGTCCGCGCCCTCTGCGCGCGCGCGAGCGCGTGCCACCCCCTCGGAAAATAGCGTCGCGTGCCCTTTTATGCGCGCGGATACCCCTTTTTTTTCCAGGCGGTACCCTTTTCTATTTTTTTTCCTCTGTCTCTCTCTCTCTCTCTCTCCCCCTGAAGGCCGCCCCTGAGGCCAGGTTACGCGCGTGTTAATCTACAATACCAGGCCATAAATTATCCGCGACCCTAAATAGAGCCATCGGAGGCGAGATGATGCGTCTACTCGGTGGACGGAACGGGAAGAGCATCACGGGGACCCTGGTGAAGGGTGGACGGGGAGGAGGAGATTGGAAATAAAAAAAAAAACAGGCGCCGGGAAAAATCAAAACCATAACTCACGTTAACTGCCGTCGCCAGTTGCATCTACGCCCCTCACCCCCGTCCCCCACCGATGCACACGCGCTACGCGCGACGTGGTTTACCGAATCGTCGAAAAAAAATTGCGTCTGTCCCCGGATCATAAAACGTATAGCTTGTCGTTTCGGTACCGGAGGAGGGGGGTAAATGGAAAAGGGAATTGCATTCGTGACAACCGTTTCTCTATATCCTCGATACGGTATGATACGACATCGATGGAATGGAAAAATATCTGGTTAACCTACTTGCCGAGAACGTTAAAATGCGTGGAATTTGTTTTTTTTTTAACTGAACCAGCTTATGTCGAAAATGGGATTTGGACGTCATTTCAATGCGGTTGTATGCACACGCGCCCCCATTAGGCATGTTAAAGCGATTCCATTCGCGTATCTGTCCCTCGGTCCCTTTTCTCTGTCTCCCCCCTCTGTCTCTGTCTCGTAAAAAAATGATCCTCTCGGGGGAGACAGGGTAGAGACATCCCTCGCAATAGTCGCGACAGGGTGTACACCGTTTGTTTGACATCATTATTCTCGCTACACGCACCAGCTTGCCGGAGATTTCGCGTGAAAATGGCCCCGTTGGATTAACGACAATCCAGTTGTACCATCTTTTTTCTGTGCTCTTTATTATCAACTGCTTTGGGGGGAGACACGATCAGAGGAGAGAAAGAGTCAAGCGTTCTAATAAGGGAATCTTATTATTTAATTAGAAGAATTGTTATATTCGATTAAATGGTGAAACGGAAATTGGTACGAGTGGCAAGAATTCGTCGGTAATCCCCGATTCCCCGCACGGACTTCCGTAATTATGAATAAACATTCGACGGAACCGTTGGAGTACCACACTTCCGGGGGCCTGCCTGTCCGTTGCAGGCTAGTATGGAATAAACTCCGTTCCCCCGTCGATGATAAAGTTACAACAAACGAAATCTTTGAAATTTTAATTGGCCCAGGACGGGGGAGGGCATAGAGGTGGGGCGGCGATTTAATTAAGAACCAAGTCGCTCCGGCCACGCTGTCTTCAATCCTACACCCTCTTTGCCGAGGAGACATTTACGAGTCACGGAAATTACGGTGAAAAATCGTCGGAGAATTAACCGTAGACACCGAGCCGAACTTCAACGATAATCCCGGTTTTAATTACCGCGACATCTGGGTGTCGCTTATAGACCCCCGTCTAATCTTGCGCCTAGCAACCATCCGGATTCTGACCATCGCGCCAGGAGTTACAACCAGATAATTGTCGCGCAGTCAGGCGACCTGGGGGCCACCCCTCTTCTGCAAAATCTCCCGAATATTATTCGTTCCTATCGTGGCAACGTAATGAAACTTTGGAGACGAATTGGCGGGTGTTCACCGACTTTCTCCCCGTTCCAAATTTCAAAATTCTCTAAATAACAAGCGTTCCCCAAGCCGCGATTCACGAAAATACGACGAAAATAAGACTAATGTTTTATAGCGAAATTTAAAATGGCACGAGACTGGCCTGACGCACACACACACGCGCGGTGGTAGAAAACGCGTCTATCTCGAGATAATCAGCCCTTATTACCCAACAGAACTGGGGTTAATACGCAACGGCCGACCAGGTGAATCACGCCAGAATCACGGGTGCATGACGAGCAGCAATTCGTGCAATCAACGATTCACGATTTAACCCCTCCTCCCGTCACTGTCCTCCCTCGCATCAGCGCGAACTCCGCTTTTCGAAGACACCTGCCCCCTCCCCACACGGCTACGAAAATCGTACGCGATCCCCCGCGCAAGTGCGCACGAGTCAGCGCGATGTGTATCGGCCCGAGAAGTCGTAAAGCCAGCCTGCCACCGTGTCGGCCAATCGGTTGTACTGTTTAACTGGTCTGATTATCTAGCCGATTGCCGAGGGTTTCCGTTCTCGCGTCAGTTGTTGAACACGCGTTTCACAACCTGGTCTGTCGAATCTATCGACCTACGGCGATTCCAAACAAATAAATAAGTGTACCTATCAATGTCTTTTTTAAATTCGTTAGCATGAACGAGGCGTCGATCGATAGATATTTGCGCAGGGGATCCAAAGGAGTAGTTTAACGGCCTGCAATAACGCGCCCGAAGAATAGAGGCCACGGATCCACTTCCCCGTGACAAGATCGCAGCGTTTGATACTCACCGGTCTCTCGGTCGCTTCTGTCCTCGGTCGTATTCTCGCCGAGCATGTCCTGTAGCTGAAGAGGTTCTCGAACGCCGAGAAGAAGCTCTTCACCGGCCGCTATGCCCCGCACCGCCTCGTACACCATCTGCGGACAATTACACCCTTCAATCCACCGATCCCTCGCCACCTTTCACCGCGAGAATGATCTCGCTGCAACTACCGAGTGCCGCTTGAAACGAATACACCAACAACATGTTTGGGCCGATAATCCGTGAACGTTACGGAGCAGAAGTAAGAGAGTAAGGTCGAATCATCGAATCGAAGTCGTAATAATTTCTCAACCCCCCATGTGCCCATTAAAGTCTCGCTTCCGCGCGACACGTAGTTTACATCGAAGTTCATAACGTTCGAAGAGCAATGAAAGGATCTTTATGGTGTCGTCGGGAGGCTCTCACCCCTCCGTCTCCCCGAAAAGTCATTACAACTGGCGATTCTGCAGGACTCTGATAGAGCGAGCCACATCCCCCATTCCCACAGCGATTGCGAGCGGGGGCCGCGTATAGGAAGTCGGCGAAACGACACCCCGTGGGGTGACTTAATAACTAAACACCCTGTATACAACGGAGCTTAGGGCACGCCCACGACAACGCGAATACCATGTGTCGGGGTTCGCATAGATAGAGAAACGAAAGGACGCACGACGCAGGGTGTGAACCCCGAATTGACACCGTGACCTCGATCTCTACCGTTCGACCTAGGTTTGTTTTTGGAGAATCGAGAAATAGAAAGAGTAAATCGAGTAATCGTCGAGATCATCTCGTCTATCGATTCGATGATTTACACGAAATTTCGATACGTGGAATAAGAGCTTCGATTGAATTTAATCAGGCGATTCAGAAGTGAAACGAAGCTAATCATTCGCCCAGTCAGACGTATATCGCGAACTTGGTCGCAGTTTCCACGTTCCATCGTCGCTTCGTTAACAGAGTCACGTAACCGGTGGAGCAGTGTAAACGGTGCACATTTTTTTTTGTATTAGTTTCACCGGCACACGTAATTTCAACAGCGGACTGCCTCTGACACCCTGTAATTATTCGTTCCTATTAAATGCAACTGTCGATCGAGTGTGTCAGTCGCGCTAGGAATCAAATTTGTAAAACGATCGACGGTGGTATGGTTAACGCGAGTTGATACCCGAGTTGTGAAACAATTACCTACACACGGGAGGGGTACACGTGCTGCATGGAGAACTGTTTTCATTGGACAGAACCGGAAGTTGGTGATCGTTAAACGAGAATCGACGACAGCTAGAACGGTTCTGTCGATGTTAAAAATACCGAGCAGATTGTTAATTACCTGTCCACCGATGAGCACGTGGCGCATATTAACAGCGTGCGGACTGCTGGTGCTGCGTACATATTTCAGCCAATTATTCGTTTCGTGGGACGCGTCCAACCAACCCCTTACTCCGCTCCCGGAGGTACGAACCTGAAAACAAAATACGCACGTTTTAAGTCGAGGAACGAATGATTTTTATTCAAAAACGATCCTTCACGCCCGACAGTATACCTACACGGATGAAATGTGAAAAAGAAGTTCGTTGGTCGCGAACGAACAATAAGTTTCCATCGGGGATGTAACACGCCCTTGTGCACGTGCGGCAAATAGTTTCGAACGAATGTGAATTTCCGCAGGCGAACCGCAATGTTTTGGATCCGGGACATTGCGTTTAACGGACTACCGCCCACGGATACGTATACATATATATCGCCCTCTCATCACCCTTGCTCTCTCGTTACGTGGCCACTGTTACTTCCCGCCGCAGCATCCAATAGGGGTGGGCTGTCTACCCCCCGTACTTTTAGGGCGAGACAAGTGATTTTTTCAATTGTCTTGCGCGAGGCCGTGCAACGCTCCGAGACGCTTGGCCGGCCAAGCGTCTCGCCCTGATACACGCCCGTGGACACCCCGCCCTTCGTCGGCCCTTCCGACTAATTCTCCACCTCGACACCCTCTCTCGTCGTCTCACGCTGTAAACACATTTTGCACTTCCACCGAGAAGCTCGTTCTCTCTTCGTGTTTCATCTGCCAGAATCGCCTGACGCACCACGAACGTACCGTGGAATTCCATCTTTTCTCATTTATTTACTGTCCTTCTTTTAAATCTCATTTTATTCAGTTCCTACTGTGGAATCTATAAGAAATCGAGATCTTGTAGTTTAAAGTTTCTCGAGCGTTAAATGCATCGCGCGGAACGATTTTTCGTTGTGTCGATGGTAATAAGATTTCGTCGACGGTTCAACAATGTCCGGACACCGAACAATCGGACTAGGTACTCGACTAATATTGACAATTGTTTTGAGGTAGAAGCGTTCCTAGATTTGCCTGCGATTCTCTCGGACCCTTATCACAGCCAATATCTAAGAACGCTTCGGCACAGGCTTCCGACCGTTGGTGGTGGGCTTTATCCTACCACCTGCCGGTAGTGAGTGCAACTAGCTGCGCCCATAAAAATCAATGAATCTCGCAGGTGGATAAGCGTCTACCTTGCAGGTAAGTAATCACGGTTACCGAGCACCCGAAGACGAAGAACTGTTCCGAGACGGAGTATTTACTCACGCCTCGACACTTTCCATTACGTTTCGAGAGACGGTTCTATACTTCGATGAGAAAGGTTTCAACTTCGATCAGGCTCGAACGATTTACTCGAACGTTGAAGTTCGCCACTACGACGACAGAGAAAAGCCGTGTATTCGGAGCAAGAAAGCAGCGCGCCTCGACTTCCGATTTCGGCGACATCAATGATTTCTAGGGCGACACACTCCGTTCCGTCGAGTATCATTGATCAACCGTAGGCAAGCTCAGGTAGCCCGGGAAACTGGTAATACCTTATAATGCGGGAATAAGAAGTGGGACAGTTTGGCGAAAAGGAACACGAAGAAAGAGAGAGGCGAGATGGCCAGGATTCCCTGGGACCCCGTTCATAATGGCCAGTTTAGTTGCTGCGGGGGCCCACTAAGGACCGTTTCCGGAAGATGGGCACGAACGAGCGGATCACAATGGGACGTCTCGTCGTGTAACGCGACAGATTAGAATCTCTCGCCAGTGACACCTTCGACAATGATGCGCCCGAAAGCTCGTTGGTGCGGCAAACGGTGCTTTTGGCGAAGTAAAATGGAAACTTGTTAAAACTCGGGCTTTTCATCTTCAACCTTTCGGCGACCCTTCTGCCCGTTGTAAAATCAATCGTTCCCGTGAAAATCGATCTCCCATTTCCCTTCGATACATGTGTTTTTTAATTTCAGAATGGTGTGATTCAGTTTCTACGAATGGAAACCGTTGATGAATCATTGGTTCAGATTCGTCCGGAGCTTCGTCCCCGTTCTGCTTTCGTCATTGACGGTTTTTGGAAAGGAGGCTCGTGGCTGGCTGTGAAACCTCACAGCGGGAACTTCCAACGCTTTGTCGGCGCGCGCGGACATGTGCTAACAATTCGTCGGACAGATTTGTCTAGCCGTGGATCACGTTCATTCCCCCCATAATCGTCGCACAGAAGTGTGGCGTGCTTCTGGGTTCTGGGATCTCCAAAGGTTCTTCCGCTGCAAGCGGAACGCGCATTAACGACGAAGATTCTTTGAAAGTCGGACGAAAAAAAAAAAAAAGAAATAGTCGAAACTCTCTCGTTTCTCTGCGCTCCTTATTCCTGTTCCCTTTTCATTTTCCATCGAGTGGCGGCAGAATTAATTGGAAGCCGCGTATTTATCTCGGCACAATGGCGACGGACACCGGCGCGGGAAAATGATTCAAAGGGTGTACAAGAGAACTGGGAAACAGCCGCGGGCGAAGCGGAAACAGACGAGAGAACGAAGGTAGAAACGCAGAGAGAACGAGAGAGGGAGCGAACGATGTCGACGAGCGACACGTGAATAAATTATAATTGCATGATTCCTTGAGCCTCTTTGCCGGCACAGCGTAACGCGCGCGCGCGCGCGCGCGCTCGCCACCGCGAAATTGCTAAAATTGGCAGAAATTGCGCGACCATTTTAATTACATCCCCGCGGTTTTCACACTGATTTCTCTCTATGAACTTTCATGCATCTCCGGCTGGTTCTGGAAAATCGGCGCTTAGCCGGGTGCTTAGACGTCAGCGATGATAATTGAACGGCAACGCCGCGGTGATTTTAACGACGCAAGCCCAAGGAAACAGCGGAGAAACGGAGAAATTACGGAGGAAACGTTTTTTTTTCTTCTTTCTATCGAATCCCGTTCTTGGCGATTTTCCTAGCTTCGACACGAGAATAATCCTTGCAGAACTGGGATATCCCCAATTTGTTCGTTCGTGCGAGGAGAAAGGTCCACCTTCCCGGTCATCTGGCGAAAAAGGGATGGAAGGATCGAGGAACTATCCGGGCTGGACGCATACATCGGGGTTGATCTGCAGGACACGCGGTCAGGATGAATCCTCTTCTCGTTCAGCCCGGCATGGGGCCAGCAGGACAGCCGTGTCGCACAAAACACGCGATCTCCTCTTTTCCCCCTTTTGTAACCTCACACCTCCAACAAAAACGTGGCCGACGGAAAGATCGTTCGACGTTCGTCGGTCTGGGTTTTACCGAAAATAGCCCCACGAGAAAAGAGACGGCAGACAACGCCGCGCGGCAGATCCTCGTGAATTCTCGTGAATGGACCCTCATAATCGGGCGAGGTAACGCCGTCGTTTTTCGACACATTTCGAGGGGATCAACCACGGGCTCGATCGTGATCTTTGCCGTCGAAGACGACGCGTCTCTATCAGGGCAATGTAATGGCGCGAAGGGGACGGTGACGTGGAACGTGTCCATTCACAAATTAAGATATCGTCGCCCGAAGCTATACCTGCGATCCGCCTGCCGATCTTTCGACGATCCGTTGTCGGTGTGACGTCAAAGGCGTCCCACGATCGAAACGATATTGTAACTCAGAGCGCAGGAGGCGAGGTTGTATTTTATACGAACGAACCGGGAATAATTAGTTAATTAGAATATTTAGAACGGGAATCGTGTAATTGAATTTATTTAACGTCCAGAAATATCTAGACCAGAGGCGAAACAAAAGAGGGAAGAGTTAAACGGGCGGGGGATTAAATGAGCGGCATTCATTGTCCCCGGTGGAACTTACGGGAGAAAGAGGGAGAGAGCGTGTTCAACGTGGGACAAAAGTTATGAATAAAACGGATCGATAGCGTATGATAGTCCCCCGTGATGGCCGACGCAAAAATGCTTTTAGCCGACACAGCGTGTCTCCTCTACCCCCGCGTTGGAAAAACCCATCACCCGACTTTACCCGATTCGTCAACTTCGAGGCATCGCGGTGTCGAAGCGTTCTCAATAATTTTACTGAGCGGGTCGCGTCGATCGAATTCTCAACGGGATTAAGATCGAAACATACACGGTGACGTTCCGGTCACGATGGTAACGGTGATTAACGTCGCCAATAAGAGGTCGAGGTCTTCGACGAGTTAATCGTTGCGATCAACAACGTAGATCATACCCGGGGACAACATACACGTCATTATCGTCGTGTGACGCAACAATGGCGTATCGAATTTCATTTTCATCCCCCTCCCCTAGGTTCATCGAGGAGAAAGAGTAGGGCCCACGTGAACGCATCGTGCGCCCCGGCGAATTTCCCAGAGTTTCCAGAAATTCGTTGGGCGTCCCGTGGTAGGAGGGGAGAACGAAACGGTCAATTATCATCCCCTAAATAACAGGACTGTTTACGATTCCGTGCGTCGTACAGCGCGAACGCAATCCCCCAGACCGAACCCGGCATTAGCCGTGGCGACATCTTTGCTTAATTTCCTCTTAGTTTAAAGCCTCGATCTGGGAGGGGGGCGGGAGGGAAGGAACGAGCCGTAGACGATTCACAGCCACCGATGGAGCCTCCTGCCAGTCTTAGTTGCTCCTTAATTAATTTCCAGGACGAGCTCCCGCGCACGTCCATAAGCACGCCGGTCTGTGGAAATGGTGTACGATCGCGTCCATCGATCAGGAGAAATTTCCAGGGACCGATATCAGCTCCTCGTGGAATCATTTGCGAAGTTAGCTCGAACCAGGAAACGAAGGTTAATTGCATTTTTGCTCACTTCAATTGTTAGGATATTGGTGCTTAGTTTCACGCGTGAAGCCTGAATCTTAACGAAGGAAATCAGCTTTCTAGGTTTGGTGAATGAAACAATGAAATCTTTAGCGACGAGTCTTCGTCGAGAAGATAATAAGAAACATTCGAACGATTTGCTTCAAACCCCTAGTGCTTTCCTGGATTCATATTTCACCCCGATTAGATACATATTTTCTCGTACTTGACCCACTTGACTCGTAGCAGGAAAGTAATGCAAGTAATGACGAGGCAAACGGTGCCCTCCGACCCGTGTCTAACGCGAAACAGATGCCACCCCCGACGTGAACGCCAACTCGAACCTCTTTCGCCCCCCTCCCCCTTCTAGCGTT